TCCTTAAAAAGAAACAAAATGAAATATATAAAGGGAAAAAGTTCTCTTTATTTCTTCAACAAAAATTCTTTTGAAATATGAAATACAGTATTTCTTTAGAGGGAAAAAAATGAAAAGCCAAAAAGTATGAATATTTCTTAATTTAAAAAAACATAAATAATGTATAGTTTATAAGTATTCAATGTCTTTATGAGTTTTTCAAGTCTCAGTTGTAGGATTTACTAATTCAAAAGACACACAAGTATTCTGCAATCCTTTTTGCATCCAAAAACTTTTGCTTTTTAATTCAACACCAGGATTTCTAACTAAATTATTACAATCTTTGTTTATTCCTATTACTTGTAACTGAACAACCATTGGTTGTTATTATTTTGAACTGTGTCTCTTGGAGTCAACATTTCATTTACAAAGTATTATTTGAAAATTATCCAATTGTCAAAATCCAGAAGATAGTACATTTTTCCTAATGGCACAGCTTGGGAAATACACTCAGAAATGGTAACGTGAAATTAAATTGTAAAAATAATCAGGGTAGACTACATGATTTACTACTATATACACAGAATCTAGAAAATCAGGGGAAAACATACAAATTTATTTAAAAATAAGCTACAATGATTTATATTCTATCCTATGCCCTTTATACAACACCAAGATAATATCTGAAAATTAAGCAATATTTTGAGTTTCCCAGAGAATGCCAAGAACTGGTCTGAGTTTTCTCTAACTAAATTAACTATTAAACCAATGGATTTTAACAGGGATTTGTGACTACATAAACACAACCTAAATCTTATAAAAAATCAGGCAAAAATGAAATTATTTTCTATTTCTATATAATTTGGAATTACAACATTATACTTAAAAAAACATTACATTGACTCAAAAACCATATAGACTTCCTATGAACTTTTGTAGAAAGTTATAATTTGATCAATAAAGATATTCAGAAACATAGAGTAAAAAAAGTAAAGTTTAAAAATGTTCACCTTCAATTTATTTCATAGGTCACTGTTATACCATCTAATAAGATAATTAAAAACATGCAAGCAGCTGGTACTACAGCTAAACAGATTAATGTAATAGTCTGTAGTCATATGTGCTGGCAAGGGGCTCGCTTCTTTGGAGAGGAGAAGGTCAGCTGCCCTTGGGAAGAGGAGGGGGCTGGCAGAATATTCCTTCTACCCTGTGGCCCTGTGCTACAATCACTAAGTTAAACATCTACTGCAAACTGCTGATCAGCAAAGCACTCCTCTTCTTTCATACCCAGCAAGGGTCTCTCAGTTGTAATGGTTAAATAAGAAATAGAGAAAGCTCATAATAATCCGACAGAAAACATTAACATTGGTCTTTTAAAAGTACAAGATATATTGCATAAATCAATAATATCTTCTCAATTCTTATAAATTTTCCATTTTAACACGTCATCTGCAAACTAGATGGGAGATATACAATCAAATTTTAACAAAAACTTCCAAAACAAGATCTGGTCTATTACCGGGGCATAATATAACAATCACACTGGTGCCTCAGGAGTTAAATGCAGCTGTACCCCACCTGAATCAATGAAGTAAACCACAAAAGACACACATCCAAAGTAAAACCTCAGAGACTAAGAAAAACAAATCTATGAGCATTAGGCACATAAAGCTATAGTTAGGCTCCATCAATTGTAAATTTCAAAATTTATCGGTCAAAATTCCAAAAATCCATCTCTGAACTTATACTAATAGTAAAACATCTTCCTTTTACCTTTACTATGTGTACAAATTTATTATACAAAGGCAACCTAGAATACTGTATCAGAGATTGAGAGTTTCAAGCCTCAGGTTAAGCTTGCTCTTAGCTCCCTTTCTGTTAACACAAGTAGTTTTCCTGTAAGACACATTTTTCTTTTATCTTCCTTTTGGTGTCTCTGTATTAGAGCACTGTAAAATAACTTCTACAATACCAGAAGTTAACGATGATGACAATGATGATGATGACATCGACTGGAAGATAAAAGCAGCTAATATTTATTCAGCATTTACAACATGACATTACCCCATTAACTCCTCAGAACAAGTGTGTTTTATTAGTCCCACTTTAAAGGTGAGGAAACTGACGCTAAGACTTGTCCAAAGTCTCCATAGTATTTGGAGTCAGGATTTGAACCAACTCACTATGTTTAGATATTGCTAACAAACAAACAACAACAACAAAAAACAGACTACACCCTCTTGAAACTGATAATCTAAGATCACAATAATACAAATAATGAGAAGAATATTAGATTTAGGTGACCAATTTAATACTGAATTCAAAAGTTAGTAAAACCTCAGCATATGCTATAAAAGGGTACATGTGGTGGAGGGTTAGGTGAAGACTAAGGCAACAAAGTTGCCAGTTTACAAGAGGTAAGCACAAAAGAATTAATAAAAATAATGCCATGACTCTGCATTTAGATTTTCAAAAGGCTTCATTTTACACATTTCATCTCAGTCTTTAAAACAATTGTAAGAAGGAAGCAGGTTAGATATCGTAATGTCCATTTCATAGATGACAAACTAAGGCTAATCATTATCCCGGACACAAGCACGTACAGCTTGAGTACGATGGTACTAGGCTGACAGCCAGAAGTGTCCAACTGTGCAGAAAGTCAAGATTTCTAAGGCAGAAATGTTCCATTTTAACAAATGTTAGGCTAAAGGATGTTTGAGGGTTGGAATATTCGCATTTTTCCAATAACCTATTTCCAGTTAGTTTAAAAGAGCTATGATGGCAACAGAAAAATAATTTTCATTTTCAAAAGTGAATTTTACTGACAATTCTGTTACCATTTTAGTGTGATTCTGCAACAATTCCTAGGTTTTATCAGTTAACCTTAATATGAAAATATACCCCAGAGCTGTGCTTCTATGAATTCTGCATTTAACCCAAGTGTCAAATTCACAAGTAAGCTCATTATGTTGTAAGAGCTATTGCCTACTGAGTAGAAAAATATTCATTTCACACCTTAAATACTATAATACTATTTAATAACAGCACTGGCCTGCCAACTATTAAAAGCTCGTTTTTGTATACTGTACTACCTGAGCTTTTTATCTTGCCTTTTTAATTACAACAATAAATTAATATCCTAACAGTACAACACTGACAGGCATTGATTAAAACTGTATTAGTTAACAACATTAGTATTTATTGTGCAAAGTTGCATTAGGAGTTCATTTTCAAAGTACAATTATCATTCGATAATACTAAGATACTTTAATCTTCAAACTATTCAAGAACAAAATAAACTACAAGATAATACCGTGTCTTCACATTAACATATTTCTCTTAACTTTATATTATGTCCATTATTTACTATAATTAGCTAAACTATAAATGTAATTGTAAAATATAATTCACCAAAAAAATTTATATACATATGAATTTTCCTTCCTTTGAAATACATCTTTATTTTCCTTTTGCCTTAGTTATTTTTTTATTGTATTTATATCTAGTAATAATATAACCACCATAGATTTCACATATATTATCATATTAACATTCCTCAGTTACATGCCAAATCATGAACATTATTTAACTATCTTTTATATTTACTTTTTTTTTTGTTTTGGTGTGACCAGCTGTAACATGTTCAGACAGAGGATCCTACCTGTTATTTAACATGCCAAATTCCAAGCTTTATATTACACCTCAGCACTAAAAGGATTTGGAGAATTCCACCATTTATAAGGTGGGATGGGTACAGTGAAATTTAGTGACAGTATATGAGCTTTACCGCTGTGATAATACGCTTCTAGAACACCATGGGAACATGAGCCTTTTGTAGTATCCGTGACACTTGAACAACTGATTATTTATACAGACCCCAACTGGCACAAAATAAAGATGTCAAGTGTTTCAATTACCATCTCACTTCTGGAATTCATAAACAAATTGTAAAAACTTTCACATTTACCACATTCTTATTAAGTGCTTCCTGTATACAAGGCCCTACTCTAGATGTTAAAAGCTTGCCTGGGATCTGAAGAAACAAATGACATAGTTTCAATTAGGGATACAGAATATGTACTCAAAAATATAAAGATTCTAAGCCTAAATTCCATATTTATTATATAAAAGGAGTTACAGCTTATTATTCAAATGAGTTTCCAAGTGTACAGTGGCTCTTGCATATAATTTATAGTGTCATTACACAAATATCAGAACTAATTAACCATAAAGACAATATATTTCAACTAAAGTGTTTCTTCAAGAATCTGCCTTACTATCTATAACGTCAAAATGTATTATTATCGAATTTGTACTTTTTTTCTCTGAAAGAAAACCACCTAGTTCTTACATCACTTTGGTTCAGTATATGAATTTTCTAACTTTACTGAAAATACTTTAATCTTTCTTCTTCCTAGATTTCCCTGTTACGAAGGGACAAAATCCATAAACATTTACTTAAGCAACTTCAAGTTATAAGGAGAATATTAACAAAAGACTAGATAAAATACATGTTTTCTTAACAAGTATATCCTTTTTTAAAAATCACTAATTGAGACATAACTGCCGTGTTTGCTGAAGAGCCAAACGGGATAGTAACAAACAGCATGTAACCACGGATTACATTTTATACTCTCTTAGATGCTCATCAGCAGTACACTCCATTTTAGCAGCAAACTTAAACAAAAGGAAGCCTTTAATACTGTAACAGATATACTGGAAAAACAAAAACAAAACATGGATTATAATGAAGCTTAATACTACATGTGCATCCATTCCAATTATTCTACTCTGAGATAACAGATATCTACAATAAGTCCATTTACTCAAGAACTCAGAATGTTACATTTTCCGTTACTCAGTAAGTCTGCAGAACAATTGCATCTCACAATAGTCTTTACATTTGTCATATTTTTAAAGCACAGGTAACAGTTTCTTACTACTCTAAAATTAGAAGTCTGTAAGATTAGGTATCTTGTAATTACCCTGTAATATTATGTATCTATGTATTCATCACCTACCTATAGGAATTAAAAGTCCCATCAGAATCTAAAGTAGAACTTGTTCTTCTTCCATTTTTATTTGAATCTCCTGGAAAAGAAAATTTAAAAACACTGAAATAATGGAGATTATGAAACTGAGTATTTCAGTTGAAAAGCTATGGTGTAACAGCTCTATGCAGTATATTGGGTCAAAAAGCATATATCCCCTTATCCCTCCCCCAAATATCTTTTCTAATCAGAGCCCTTTAGGCAAAAAATTCATTTTGATGCTTAAATATAAACCAACACCACCACCCTAACTTAGATAGGAATACTACCAAAGTAATTGCTAATAGGAACAAATGAAGTACAGTACAGACATTTTCTTCTTACGAATCACAGACAAAACCAAAATTTATAAACCATTTAATCATACATTAATGTTTATAACAAAGGGCAACTTTTTGTTAGTGCCCTTCGTTTATAATCAGCCATCCTGACCACTGGTACAGTCAAAAGAGAGCAGGCAGATATCTGATCTGGACGTTTTCCAGCCTCCAGTTCTCCACTCTCTAGGAATTTGGTATGTAGAGAGTTTTAGTAAAACAGAAAGCAGACTTAAGAGGTGGTGATCAAGAATGCATTCTAATAAGCTTTTAATATACCTTAATATTCTTCCCAAAACTTTATGTTTTAACTGTGGGCAAAAGTTCAGCAGTTTAAAAAATGAAAAAACAACAACAACATCAAAAGGTAGTTCTGCCTCATGTAGCAATATCAAACATTTAGGGGAAAAAAAAATTCACTCAAGAAACTGGCATATTTATAAAATCAGATTTAGAACAAATTCATACCTATCAGTTTAAAGATTACAGAATAAAAACAAACTTGTTAAAAAAGTGATTACCAATGCCACAATACAAAATATATGTTCTTATTGATAGAAATTTAATTTTTAATAGTTTAAGTTTTAAAATATATACCTCAAAGTATAGTTTTTATGAGCTCATAGTATACTACTATTAAATATACCACTTATTCTTAGAAAAAAATTTAAAAGACTAGAATCTGATTACATTTTATACTCCTAATTCCCGTAACGTGACTTTCAAACATCAGGTTATATTCATTTTTATGATATTTAAAGCTTAATAATTTAATGATTTATCCAATTTTAATTTACACTTTTAATCCACTTTGAACAATCTAAGGTGCCACTGGAGATCATCACAGTGGTCCTGGTTAAGTCAAATAATAATTACAGAGCTTTCACTTTAAAGATGAGATTATTTTTAATTATTGAGTATAGTACTTAAGGTACCATACTTCTATAATTATGCTACTCATTAAATGGTTATTGAAAGCTGAGATGTAATTTTAATGACAGCTACCTATTTTTCTTTGCACATTTTATAGTTGACAGATTAGTCAAGAATGTTGGTTCTCTTCAAAATCTTTGCAGCTGCGCCAAAGTGTTTAGGAGGACGAGAACCGGACTGAGCCCACTCACTGAACTTTTAACTCCATCCTTTTTTCAAAATGCACTTTCAGTTTTTCTTTTTCATTAAACAAAAATCCTGAAATGGATTACAGCATTCAAAAATGTTGCCAAATTTAATACAAGAAAATAATCCAGAAACACTTAAATGTTTAAGATCAATCTAGCTGGATATATTTTGTTAATTATTTGAAAACATCAATACCGTACAATTATTCACACAACATACTTAATTTTCTTTAAAATAAATTAATGGTATTATAATAAATAAACTAAAAAGATTTTAGTCTCCGTCTTGCTAAATGAAAATTTTCTACAACACATGTTATTTAACAGCTTGCAGACATTTCCTGTGAAACATTCCATAATCAGCATAGAATAAGTACTATATTATACATTTAAAATATGAGCCTTCTTTTTCTTTAAAGATTATGATTAAATACATAAAATCTCACCAATAGAATATTTCTTCCCTTCTGCTGATATTTACCAAATATAAAATCCTTCAAATAATTGAGACTTTCAGTTTTTTTAAACAACTAGGTTTTGTCCTCATCATATATTACCAAGGTTTTCTTCATTTTATATCTGTTTTGAAATGAATATATCACATTAAATGTAACCTTCAAAGGATGGGAATAAGGAAAAAAAGGAGTTTTTCTTTCTCAAAAACATACGAAATAAGGAGTACAATTGTTTCTCTAAACAATATTAGAGAAAAGATTTCAGAGTTTGCTATGTGGGGAAAAGGCAATAAAGTTTTGAAGCAGGAAAAACTGCTTTGTTCCTTCAATCCTCTAGTTGAAATTAATTATAGCAAATGTTTATGAAAACATCTGTTCCTTACAGTTATAAATTCTTAATTTTAGTATGGACGATTCCAGACTCTTATTTTGGAAGGAAACTGTCTGACAATTGAAAGGTTTACAAAAGAACAGACAGAATTTGTAATTCTGGAAAATTGTATATACAGTGTGCTATATCCTGTAGAGATTTTCGTTTGTGTGAAACATTTGGAGGGGTTTAAAGCTGGTAACTAGGAGAAATCAAAGACAAACGGGCTCATCTTTCATTTAAGCTGTTATACAATAAAGACATATCTGTAACACAAGAAAACACCAACTAGGAATTATAAATAAATATTACTTTACTATCAATCTAATTTGCAGGTAAGTAAAATAAAATAAGTATTAATTTTATCAAGGATTTTAATAAGTCTAATGTCAATACAATCATGGGAAGGTATGTGTAATGTTCCCCCAAAATAACAACAGAGGGTGCAAGAGAGTTTAATATGATGTTTTTAGCTGCTGTTCTGATTCTTGAACTAAGTTGTCAGGTAGTCGTAACTGAAGGAGGATGCATAGGTTGTTTTCAGATCTCTCCCCCTCTCTCTCTGTCTCTCACAAACACACACACATAAATACATTATTAAAGTAATCTTACACAAAGACCTTTAAATGATCAAACAGCACAAATACTTAACAGTGTTGTAAGATAACAGACTTCCTTTCACTTGCTTGAAAAATAATTGAACGGAGTAAATTTTTAAAATACACTTGTGATTTTAAAGGTATTTCAATATTTAATGTAAACTAACCAATAAAATAATCTGGATATATTTATTGAGTAAATTTTAAATAAATGCATAAATTATATCCAATACATAACATACATATTACATGTTACTATATGTGTATATAACATTGTACATCGTATTATATATTTAGAGGAACAGTTCATCAATTACCTGTGACCATTACGGTTTGAAGTTTAAATAACACATTCATTTCTCATTAGTTGGTAAGTAACTTTGTAAAATGAGTTCATAATATTCACAATTAAAATAAGTTGACTGATTTGAAAAAAATATGCTTGTAATTATACCATTTTAAATGAGGATATAAAGAGCACTGTATTTTCCATTAGTAAATTCTAATAAACATGTATCTAACTTATTAAGCCAATAATATGTATAATGGTGACTTAAATTTCAAAGCAGGATTAATTGAATTCCAGACTCCTTTTCAGCTTTTACTGCAGTCTTGTTTAGCTAAGGGCATTTATAGTATCTTATCTGAGTGCTACCGAACTCATGCTAAACAAAGGTTCACAACAGATTTCAATAGTGCTTTTTATGCACAAACATCTGCTTCATGAAGGGAGAACCAGAGATTTTAAACTAGGTTAGGTTAAAAACAACCAGAATAACGCTATAAATAAGCACACCTACTCAATCGTGCTTTCAGTTTACATCTAAAAAACATCAAGTTTTAGAGTATCATCTCACACTAAGTATGAAATCTGAAAAGTATTACATAATTTAAAAAAGTGTTTCTTTTCTGAATTGTTAGAGAAATGTCACCAAGTGAGTGTGATGAATATTTAACAGTAAAAGGGGAAAAATGATTTGGTTCAAACTAAGTTTAAAACAACGCTACGGGTAGCCACATTTTAGTTGAGACAGGATAATATGGCATAATTGAAACATAAAATAGTCCAGCTAAGACCTAGGAGCAAAAGGTGGTGAGAGTTTCTTTGGGAAATTAGGACATTCGTAGAAGGCCATGCACATGTCCAGGGCAAAATGCATGACCATATAGGAACTGAGAAGGCCGTAAGCTTCCACCTCACGCTGATCACTAGGATGAGTGCAAGCCTCGCTAAATGATGAAGGACCGCTGTGGCACAGAGCCAGTCTGCAAAGACAAGGAGAGGTTTTGTTTTGTTGTTTGGTTTTTGTTGTTTTTTTAGCTCCTGACATTCAAAGAAATCTCTGTCAAAATCTTAGCTGAGTATAACCTAAGAAATAAAGACTTCAGTGACTACATATGTCAAAGACTAAGTCTTTGCAAAAATAAAAAGTAGCTCAGGAAAGTCACTAAACAAATGGACTAAAACGATCTTCAAGAGTATAAAAAATACCAAACCCTGGGGAAGGCGAGAATCTGATTTACAGAGTTACCAAATTACTATATTCAAATATCCAGTTGTCAACAAGAACAACCCAAAATCACAAAGCATACAAAGAAACAGAAAGCATGGCTCATCGAAGGAACAAAACTAAATTGACAGAAACTATCCCTGTGAAATCTAGAAATAGGTATTTACTACAAAAAGATTTGGTAACAGCTGTCTTAAGGATGCTCAAAGAGCAAAAAGAAAACATGGACAAAGAAGGAAAGGAAATCATGTAAAAAATGAAGAAACAAAATGAGAATATCAATAAAGAGGTAGAAAGTATAAAAGGAAACAAAGAATTTCTAGAGCTGAAAAATACAATAACTGAAATAAAAAATTCACTTGAGGGGTTCAACAACAGGTGTGAGCAGGCAGAGGATGAAAATAGCAAACAAAGATAGGACAAGTGAAATTATGGAGTCTGAGGAGCAAAAAGAAAAATGAATGAAGAAAAGTGAACAGAGCCTAAGAGACCTGTGTGACACCATAAAGCACATCAACATACACATTACGAGAGTCTGAGAAGTAAAAGAGAGCAAGAAAGAAGCTAAAAGAATATTTGAAGAAATAATGGCCAAAAATGTCCCAAATTGGATGAAAGACAAAAATCTACAAATCCGAGAAGCTCAATGAACTCCAGGCAGATTAAC